TAGCATACTCTGGTAGGTTTAGGTCATAGATAAAATTGTCTAAGCTAGTATTCTTAAGATTATTTGTAGCCATATAAGACAAAAACTTAACATCTAATAAAAGATACGAGGCAAGACCTCACCTTAATACCGAAAAAAAAAAAATAAAAAAAATAACTCAGTGGAGTTCAAAGTTCTAAGTTAAAGAAATTAGAATATTTAATTTATAATTCACTCTAATAGTATAAAACTCTGAAGAGCCCAAAGTTTCAAGTTAAAGAAATCAGAGTATTTAACTTGAGATTCACAATTGGAGTTTAATATTAAAGAAAGTGTTGTTCTAATTCTTCTGATAAGTAAAATCTGTATTAATGATTGGAATAAGTGACCAAATCCGTGATTCTGAATAAAGAGATTTGTGATGTAATCTAGAGCTCTAATCTGACACTATCGCTAAAAACCCAATTTATGCTAGTTACTTGGATCAAGTCTTTTCACACCTTGAATATTGCTTTACCAATATTAGGGTTTGGTATATTAGTTGTAGTGTTCTGGTTAAAGTAGTTTAGTTAGTATTTAGTGTTGTATTGTAGTGTATATTGGTATTATCTAGATCTAGTGAATTATTCGCACTTTTACATTTGGTAGTAACTGTGAGATTGAACTTTCCTTAATTACCCAAATTATAATAGCTATATCTATTTAGCAAAATGAAGAATAGCCAATTTAGAGAGACATTAGTTCAAATGATTAAGAATATTCTTAGAGAAGTTAATGAAGAAAAGATAAAAGCTACTTACTTCTGCAATACTAATAGAAAAAATACTATATCCAAGTTTTTGAAGGTAAGCCCAATCAACTACCTTATAGATCTATTAAGAAATTGAAAAATATGAATTTAGATGATAAATATATAGAATGGATGAAAAAAATAGATTGATTTTAAAATCAGCCAGGCCAACTATTTGTACAAACTTGATTGTTACCCACTATACAATGGAAACTACATGTTGACCAAGACATGACCAACTTAAAGAAATCAAAGAAGTCTATGTTGCAAATGTAATTGAGAAAGAAACTGATATAAAAGACAAAAGAAAAATAATCAAACATCATCAAAAATTAGCCAAAATAGGATCTAATAATAGAAAAGTAAAAA